TGGATCTTCCTGCGTGGGTCTTCAGTAGCTGTAAGGGAGCCTCTGACAGTGCATGTTCACAGAAGCGTGCTTTATAGTTAACAGCAGTGGCCTCGGAACAACGGCGATGGCCTCGGAACCCACGTCTGAGGCTAGGAAAATATACCCTGATTTAATTAAGTTGGTCCCACTGCTAAAATATGGTGTCACGTAACAGTTATCTTAATGGGATGTGTTGTTAAAAATTTGAATATTTCACAAAATATGTGGTTAAATTAATTGTTAACATTGTCTTAAATTTTAATTTAGAGAGTGTTTGAGCCCCATTTTTTCAACAAAATGCATTTTACAATAATATTTTGATAGAAAGTGTGTGGTTAAAAAATAAAGAAATATTTTGAATTTGCGTGTAATATTATTTTATTAAAAACTGTGTGAGTTAAAATAAAAGAAAAAAAATGTATTTTAAAAAATAATGGAGAGCAAATAAGGGACAATCGATAATCTAATTTTATTCAGTATTCTTTTTCAAGATATATTAAAACATATGTTTACCTAAATGGTGGCCAATCATTCAAACAACGCAAAAATTTATGCATAAGTAATCAAAAAATCAAGAATTACTAAATTAATGAGTCTTAAATTAAAAACAACAATTAATACGTTTCATCATCCATCCAATACAATAGATAATTTAGCCTAGCATAGTTATAATTGAATTACACAAGAAAAATTAAATTGACATCACTCGAAAATAAGAAAGATGAAAAAAATAGGAGATATTCACGATCTTGGCTCGAGTTTTGAAAACGGGTTATGAACATTAGAATGAAGGTTGGGAACGTTTTGGCCATCTTAGGGCAGGAGCTTGTGCTGTATGATTGCACTATACTGTTCAGATAAGGTAACTATTTCATGTTTAGGTAGCTTCCTTATTTTCCCAACATCTTCTTCAAAAACTTGGAATAGTTTAGGATTTGAAGGATTGCGTCAATGAAAGGAATGTTGAAATGTAGCCTTTTTAGGATCTCCAAGAATTTTGTGAACTGCCTATCCTACTTGGTGTTTGCAACCTTTGAGGAAAAGCAACTAGAGGTGTGAGTAAATTAATAGGAATGATTGCCTTAACCTGTGGACTATCTGAAAGCTTTTGTTGATTAACTTTTGTTGCTATTTTAGACTGCTCCACTTGTTTCCCACCAGTGGTAGGTATCGATTTACTCTCAGTCTCTTCTCTTCTTGCACTGATCTCTGATAATTGAACACCGCTACTAGTTATGATTGCCTGAACCTGCTCTTCTTTTGGCTGCATTTGCAGCCATTGAGGGAATTGGATGGGTGGCACATAAGCTTTAACGGGAATTGCGGGATTGAAGGATAGCAGCTCAACAACTACATAATTCACTTCTTCAACTGCTAACATCTGCTTCTGTGGATTCTTCTCTGTGTCACTAGATAATATACCTTGTGGTCTATTTGACAATGTAGTTGCGATCTACCCCACCTGATTATCTAAGTTCTAGATAGAAGATGTTGATTCTGGATTGTAATCTTTGTCTTGGTGATGTACATAACAAGTAGATCCTCCAAGGATGCCATCTTCTCTTGCTGTTGAATTTATATTGGATTGCCCTTCATCGGATATCCCTGGCCCTGATTGTTCATCCACGAGAAGTTTAGATGTTTGTTCAAACTTGGATGATAGTTTTTAGGGTGCAGGTTGTTTTGTTGCCTCGGAAAATTTTGTGCATAGCTTACTTCTGCAGGTTGAACCATGTGATTGGAAGCTAGAGGGCAACTAGCAACAATATGATCTACCCCCACAACCTACGCAAACCAATGCTAGTTGATGTACCATGTTAACAAACTAGGATAAGTTGTCAAGCTTTTTCATCATTTCTTCCATTCCTGCTGCTAACGCTATCACTGAATCAATATTATGCATAATAGCTGCTTTCTTTGGAAAGTCCCTATCAATTGGCCAATTAGCCTGATTTTCATCAATCCTATTATAGAGCGCATATGCATCATCAATTTCCATCTTCATCACTGAGATTTCCTGTTAAAGCATTTGCCATATTTCGAAATTCATGGGCCATTCCATAATAGAAGAGATATACCTACGTCTACTTAGAAATGTCAAGATTTGGACACTTCCTAAACGAGTTCTTAAACCTCTCTTATGCCTCCAAATATGTCTGGAAATAACTTTGTTTAAAACTATGAACTTCAATGTGAATTTTTGTACCATGTAATTCCACAACATGATACTCCTAGCAGGTAATGAATGGAGCCATTCTCTTCACCTCCTTCAAGGTGTGAGGAAATAAACGTATTCGAAAGGCATCTGATGACATCCCCTTATGGCTGATGAATTCTTACAACATCTAAAAAGCTCGAATATGCTCATGTGAATTTTCTATAGCTTTCATGAATAACTTGATATCATGATGATTCTAAAAGAAATTGATAACATCAAGTCAAATGTGGAAATTAGTCTATCCAAAAGATGGGTAGATGATTGGAGGTTGCACTGGTGTAGGCACTTGATTCACATAATCCCTGATTAACTCTACATGGAAACAATTTTGTGGTATCCTATATATCTCAATCTTGTGGCACCCATATCTTAAAAGCCAACGGGTCCTCTTAATTCGCCTTGAAAAATAAAGAGGATTGTTGGCTTTTGAGAGAGAAATGGGCTGCACCAACTTACTTCCTTGCACCGCATAGGCGAAGATTTGGCTGCTGAGCATCATTTAGTATTTTTATCATATCTTTCTCTTTCAATGTTCAATTAGGATAATTCGAAGTGTGTTGGAAAGTTAACTCAAAGAACTAAGTCATGGTACATTTTGATATATGATGTGATCGATGTTATGGAAATACAAATACCACCACGTATATCATTCGACCATTTCCATACACATTGATATTTTTCATCCAATTTGAAATCACCAAAGTAATAAACTGGAACCACAAACATATCAGCATGACAAAACAGAATTTTTAATTATATAAAAAAAATTGTCAGAAAATCAACCCAAGCACTGTTAACAGTCGGTTAACCGGCCAACGTTAACAACAGACGGTAACAACCAATTGGCGTCCATTAACATCAACAGTCGACTGTTACGATGATCATGATATACAAATGAATTTTTTTTCTTGTTTATGCTTTAAAAAAATTATAGATCTATTAAAAATTTTTATCTATATGTTAATGTATGTCGAAATAAGATTTATCGATTAAAAACGTATAATAATTTAGAGAAAACGAAATTAAACATACTGCACTTATCGATTCGAAATGATAGACGTAAAAATCAAAAATTTCTTGTTTAGTGTTTGATTAATTTCTGAGATTTTGAGGTTGAAGCAGATGAACAATGAGAGAGTTTTTAATTGTGTTGGAATAAACAGATAAGAAAAGTTAGCTAATTTTGAAATTTTACGTAGAAGTGTTTGGTTTTTTACTTGTTAATTAAAAGGGTAGTATTGTCTTTTAATTTAAAATGGTTTTTTGTAATTGTATCGTTGACTTAAGGACATTTTTGTTGTTTACAATTCAAAAGGCCATTGTGAAAGTATATCATTGTTGAAAAATTAAAGTAGAAATATGGGGGTTTGACCATGCCATTTTTAAAAGTACCCCTGAGAAGAATGAAAACAGAAATGCTAAACAGTAACAAAAGGTTTCTTGCAAAACATAAAATAAAGATAAGAAATGACGAAGTAAAGGTGGGGCTGAGAAAAGTTTATGTTCCACACGCAAATATTAAATATAAACAGTTGAATGGTACAAATTCTTAGGATAGAACTCAAGAATTTTAAAAAAGAAGAAAGAAAAGAAAAAAAGGAAGGCAGAGCACGGACTCCAAAGAACAGTGCTAAAACAAAACCACTATTTTATTGTATAGGGATAAGATTCTAATCATTTTTGTACCGATTCTTTATATAAGCTTCTTTGTGTCCCAACCTTAGGGTGTCCACACTGAAAGTGCTATGGCCTCGAGACCTACCATCCGAGCCTCCTTACAAGTGGAATAACTACATTCCTATCCTTGTAGACCTATAAAAAGGCAAGAGATATATTACTCACACCTTAAGAGCCAGACGAATGTCGGAATATGGTTTCAAATCCCAAAGGAAATGAACTTTGTTTGAGATAGAGAAACCAAAATATTAGATCTTTGAACTCTCAAAAGATAATGGATTATTTACTTTAATCAAGAAATAAGGAGCTCAAGAGTTTACATCCATGCGTTATTGTCCCTCCTCACCAAGCAAACAAGCCTCCTACCTCCTTTTACATGAAGAGTGAGCAAAGAATCAAGAAACACCCTCCACAGAAGAACTTTCACCTTAGCATCACTTATGTCGCTCCAACACTAGATGAAGCCTAAAGTTCAACTAAGAGGAGTTTATAGCCACTCTTAACAATGTAAAATCCATGTGCATCAAAGTCATTCTATATTATCAATATTTTTTATTTTGTTTAGCCGTTGCAAATATAAAGAATCCATATTTATGTTCAATTCACGACTCATAACTTAAATATAAGAGTCCAAGACTCTTGTATTTTACGTGCTCCTCTTACCTCTGCATCATTCCTTCTCCTGTAGTGAGCCCTCTTCTATTCTCGTTCCAGTCTCCTTGGTGCCCTTTTCTTCCTTTTGTCTTCCCCTTGGTGGCCCTTTCCCTCACCTTTCCTCGTTCCTCTTATGTCATATGAGGATTATATGACAATTTAACAGAAATTTAGATGATTCCTGATTAAAAATTGATTGTATAAATTTAATAAAAGGTTGAAGACCAATTCACTTATTTTTAAAGGTTGAAAACTGACCTGTTGCTCAAGGAATAGGTTAAAGACCACTAGGGCAAATTTCATTTATTTATTAGTCCTTGACCAATTTCATTTCTTTTTTTTCCCCCTTTTTGAGAATATTGCAGCTGCTTTCTCCAACTTAAACACCCCTTTACAATCCCAACCTTCATTTCTTAGCACTATCCCACCGCTTAATTCTTTTGCCACCGACATCCTCAAAGACGAATTACATTAGAAATTGCCGGAAATTGTCATGTTGAACTCGTGATCCTTCCATGTTGGAATAATTAATTAACAAGTTACCTTGAATTACATTGTTGGAAAGTGGAAATTGAAAAAGTAGGGGTATCTGCAGATATAAATCCTCTTATATAGTAGTAATTGAGCTGTATACGACGGTTTAAGGCGTGATTTCCGTTTATGATAATGTTAGTTACCAAAAGATGAAAAGTTGGATATAGCAGAAATGAGAGTTATGAACTTGAGTGCTAAAGGGTGTATGGAATGGGACACTACGCCCCAATTTTCTTCTTTTTATTAGTTTAAAACGGAAGAGAAAAAAAAATGGAAACAATAGAGCATTTATGGCCGTTTAGGCTAGTCACTTTCTTCCTCCTCCCCTGGATCTTGTGCAAACTGTCTTTTTTGTTTCCATTTATATCTCCATTAAGTCAAACCCAATTGTACCCACCCTGTTCCCATTACACTAAGCATAGAGCCCCCACCCATTGTACTTCTCCTTGATTGTTATTAATATTTTTGGCCAGGGAGTGTATCTCAACAATGGCTGATCGGAATAGGAAATGGATGACTGAGGAGGTGATAACCTACGCTTATATTCTCCTTTATATCGCTCTTTCCAGCGGCCAGATCTTCTTCAACAAGGTGCCGGTTTCTCTTTCCATATGTATACATATATTTCTTTTGGAATCATAAGAACAATGTACTGGCATGATATGTATGGTTTGCTAATTGTTTTCTAGACACTGTTTTTATTTTTTATGGTTTCCAGTGTTTAGGAGATTGTATGGTGCGATTTTTGTAGACGTTGAAAAGTTAGTTTCATTAACTTCTTTTACACATTGCGGATGGTAATTTGTGTAATTGAAATGGGCTGGAAATTTGAAAATTTAGACAGACAATGCTTTCAGGTTTATCTTGATTTCGTGGCAATTAACTGTGTGGCGAGAATGTGTCGGTCTAAGCAGATTGTGCGAGTGGATTGGAAGGAGAATCTTATGGGAAAAAGATCCTTCCTTGTTGTTTTCTTGATCAATATGGACACTGCGCCTCTTTAGAAGCATTTGGATATTAAAATGTGCATCATTTGGTGTTCACCAAATATTTCATTTTGATTCTAACACATTTACTATTCAATTACGTTCAAGGCTTACCTCATAAGCAACACGACACTTGGGTGACTAGAGATGTTGAAAAGTAAGCAAGGGTTCCTGTGATCTAATGGACAGAGGTGGTTAAAGAAGCCGGCTCAGGAGACAAAATCAGATTATCTAGCACTGGAAGATGTTATGCTTAGGCAGAAAGTTACAAGTTGCATAAAATAGG